CATTTTTACCTGTGAATAATATTTCATCGCCGCCAGACCGCGTCATGGAGGAGGCGACAACATCTTCCACACCTCGCCCTCACGCCAAGCCCGGCGCGGCGCCCCAAGATACGACATCGTCCATGGTCGCTGCCCACGACGAGAGCACGCCTCGGAACATAAATAGCATCGAAGACTCACATCACCATGCCGACTCCCAGGGGAGTGCATCGCTGACCTCAGAGGATGCTATACACGGTGAGTCGGATGAAGGATCTGAACATGAAGCGGAAAATAAGGGTGGCGCTCCACCTTCGAAAAAGAAGAAGGGTCAACGATTCTATTGCACAGACTTCCCGCCGTGTAACTTGAGTTTTACAAGAAGTGAACATCTCGCTCGACATATCCGCAAACATACCGGAGAACGTCCCTTTCAGTGTCACTGTTCGCGTCGCTTTTCCCGTCTCGATAATCTGCGACAGCATGCTCAGACGGTGCACGTCAACGAGGAAATCCCTGGAGACTCTCTTGCAGCCACTGGAACACGATTCCAGCGCCAGATCCGGACAGACCGTGTACGACCCCAAGGTCGAGCTAGAGCAGGAACCGCAGGCAGTCAGGGCACCCATAGCAGAGGTCACAGTCGAAACCTCTCTGCCTCCAGCATTACGTCGACTGCGTCCACCTTCAGTCAGCCCCAGGAGCTTCGTCGCCGACCTCCACCCTTGATGATGGCGAATGATAGGGCGCGTCTGATGGAGCCGATGGACGCCCCTAGCACGCCACCAGCCCGCGGAATACCCGGTCCAACAGCCGGCGGATCTCCCTACACGCCGTCTCACCACATCTTCTCAGCGGGCGGCAACGGCAGCCCGCACGTGGCTTCCCCCATCTCTACGGCATCACAGGCCTCGGGCTTCTGGGAAGGCAAAACTGCCGCCCGCCGTCTCTCCGTTCCTACGGGTGCGAACCCGTTCGCATCGCAACACGTCAATGCCTACCCGCCGAACTACGTTCCGACGCAAGCGTATGCTCCTCATGGAGGCGTCTATGCGAGCCCTGTCAGCTCGTCCTACTCACTCTCCCGCGACGAAACAAACCACGGTGCTACCGACGCTGATCTCCGGAGAAGGACTTGGCATCCTTCGACTTGGTCTACGGTCCCTCGGCCTGCTACAAGCGGTCTTAGCAACTACCAGACGCCAGAAGTGTTTAAGCCATCTTTTGGCGCCAATGGATCAACAGAGCAGCCACCGCGGCTGCCTGGAATTGAGAGCTTTGATAAGGTGGTGGCTCAAAGGCCCTTGACACCGCCCGTTCGGCGGTCGAGTCCGATGCAAATCGACAACCCCAACAAGCCTCCTCCGAATTATAACCTTGCCGGGGGCTACAACTACACACAGCCGGCTAAACGACCGGCGCCGCCAATCTCTGGCCCTGGTCACCGACGGGGCCATGTCTCTTGGGACATGTCATTGCACACGAACCTCACTGGCCTGCACATCAGAGACAAGCCTCCACAGCGGGACGCATCGAACTGGAGCCAGCAGACCATTGCAGAGATTCACAATGTGGGAGCTCGCCCCTCGTCTTCGTACCAACCACAGTTCCACGATTATCGAGGACATGGGCATGCTCCTTCCTACAGCAATGCTACCTCGAGCTCTCAGGCCACGCGAACTTCGCCTGAGGACTCCAGTAGCAGTGAAGGGGTACATACTCCCTCAACGGCGTCCCTGGAATACCATCCCGCCATTGTGCACAACAATGGCTATGTGGAGCCGCACCACCCCCCGTTTTCATCCGATACTTCTCATGCAGTACGCACCCGTTACCCGGAGTATCGCTGAGGGCCAAATCACTGATTGAACTGCAGGCCTGTCCCCCGCTTCCCCCACAGACTGATAGCTATCACGGCAAACATGATCCACGGTCCGAATTCCTACCCCACACCGCCCGAGAGCCTGGAATGGGTCGGCTGGAGGCACTGGTTGCCGTTGCCACGAGTGAGAACAAAAGCGCAGCGAAGCTGTTCCTGTGAAGAAGTCTTGGTGTGAACATGTTGGATGTCCTCTGCGAGCAGGGGGTTTGAGTGGTTTCAATTCCGAAGTCGATCTTTCTCGGTTTTCCCGCCATTTCCTCTTTTGTTTCGAGCCGGAGTTGTATAGTACGGGGCGCCCGGTCTTTTTCTTTCTGGGGGATCCTCTACATTTTCTTTGTTCTTGATATAACTGCGGATTGCTAGATACTTTAGCCTCTCGTTACTCGGAGCTGCACACCACCGCTCGGCTGCGGGAATCTTTATGATGTGATGACTGACGAATAATGCATCAGTGGGTTGGATCGATATATGGGCTTCTCTGACAATTGCTGTGTCTTCGTTCGGGTGTTTTCTTTTCTTTTTGTCGTTTGGTTTTCTTGTCCGGTTGCATGTTTTGGCGTTCTCAACACCTCCGGTCTGCTGTCCATAGTGCATGAAGATACCCCCCGGCCTTGATCTCGAGCTCAGCTACGAGGTTATGGAAGGAGTTTCCTACTCTGGTCGTGGTGTGGCTTCGATTGTGTGTTCGGCTTCTGTCTATATCTATCCATTGCGCTCTCCTTATGGTGTCCAAGTGTGGCCCTCTGTGTATTTCATTATATGTGTCTTTTTTTTTCTGCGACAGTGAGGATTCAATTAGCAACCAGCTGCGGGTAAAGTGATAAATGTCAGAGAATCAATTCCATTCCAATTGTACCTTGTAACTGGTGGGTAACTACTACATAGTCAACATGAAGTAGATAACAGCCCCATCATGACGTGTTTGATTTACACCAGCCCACTCCAGCAACTTCTACCCCATGTACTTCGTTAGTACATGTGTCAGAAGCAAGAAGAGTCGGGTCATGGAAGCCGTTGGACCCGATGACCTTGCAGTGACGTAGTGTCGGTCCCGCAGCCGATCCTCGCCGCGCCGGAGCAGCATAGCTCTGTAGCTATCTGCACCCGCCCATACCTCTGCTACATAGTATATGGGAGAAATAGTAACAATACAAACCTCTATACTACAAACAAGTACCTAGATCAACTAATTCACACAAGCAAAAACACCTAATGATTCATAAGTAAAACAAACAAAAAAAAACCAAAAGTAAAAAAGAACCGACTGCACCACCCGACAAGAGGAGAAGAAGACCGAAGCCGGACCCTAACCCCCCCCAAAGACGTCATACCCTGTGACACTGCCTAGTTAGTTAGCCACTTGCACTCATTACTTTCTCTCTGCCCAGCCTAACAACCAAAGGTTTCATTTCCAACTTCAACTCATCTACAATCTATAAGTACCTGTCTGTTGTCTCCCTCCTGTACCGGATCACATTCAAGCTGCGAACAACAATAACAAGCATTCCATTCGAATTGTCTGTCTATACCCTCTGAAGAAAGTTCATACATACATACATACATCCACCATGTCGAAGAACCCTACCGCTCTCTACCTCGGCATTGCTGCCCTCGGCGCCGGTGGCTATTACATGTACCGCGCTGGAGGCGATCCCAAGGTTGCGAAGGAAGAGATGAGACGTATGCTAGCCACTTCTTTCTTTTCATCGTTGATGATGGGTGTTTGCTAATGCTGAATGTGTGTATGTGTAGATGACGCCCACCTCGCCCGTCTCAAGGCACCCACAGGCGATCAAGCCGAAAAGGCAGGTGAAAAGGCAGCGTATGAGGCACGGTTGAATGTTGATGAGGCGGTATGTCATACCCTTCTTCTCTTTTTATCCCATGGTGTGAGACGATGAATGCTAATGATATTGTGTGATGATGGTGATAGATCGATACCGCCAGCAAAGACGCCAAAGATAGCATGAACCGTCTGGAGAAAATTGGTCGCGACAAGACGGCTGAGTTGCGCTCAGGAGCAGAGAAGTTGGAGGGTAAGGTTGAGGAGAAGGCGGCGGAGGCGAAGGGGGCCGTGTCGGGGTGGTTTGGAGGGAAGAAATAATCCTGAAGCCTCTTGGAAGTGATTTATATGATTGATGATGAGGAGGAAAGTGGTTGTTTGGAAAATGAGGCTTAGCTGGGCTGGGCTTTATGATGATGCTGATGCTGTTTTAATATGCATCGTTCTTCTACTTTTATAATTATTCTGATGATAAGAATGACGAGTTGCGTCTTGTCTGGATATGTTGTTTATGTACTTAACTACGTATATCTGGGTTAAGGTGATGGTGTTATGTTAATGAATGATGCATTAATTTGCCATCTTCTCCCTATTCCTGAATATTGGTGTCTGTATAGGTTGGAATACGATTTAGTGGAATAGTTACGTAGTGTGCGGAGCCAGAGTATGATCTAGTCAGTAAGGTTAGATGACTACAGTCTAGCCAACTACCCAACCAAAGTGCAAAAATAGTGGAGAGAGAGGGAGCAACGTTCTAGAGCATACCTCCGTCCCCAATTTGCAGGACTTAGTCTAGACTACAGTGCGGGGGGTTACGGTATGCTGCATTCCGAGACTGATTATTGCTGTAGAGACTGAGAAGTATCAACATTCATTCTATTCATATATGACCAAGGAAGTATGGCTAATATCGAGAGAACAACAATCTCTCTCGAGTGAATCAATGATATAATTCTCTTTCTGCACTCATCAAAAGTCAATGTGATCATGACCCGCAGCTAAAGTTCCAACTCAAAAAACTAATATTACCCTTTCCGGCCAACACGGATACGCCAAAGACACCAGACGCGCCTTGATCGCGTCGCGCGTGAACTCCACCTAAAATCCACGCTACCCGCTGTTACCCATCCATTTGTCCCATCCCTTAAAGAAAAAAGAATGATCATTCCCCGTTTTAGTGGATTTTCTCTAACACTCATATTATCTTCTTTCTCTCTTCCCCAGACTTTCCATACATACACCACTACTACTTTTATCCTATCTTATCTTAAGGGTCTAATTGTTTAATACTTACTCTATGATACGCCAATAGGATTCCTATCCCTTAATTTCCTCATTTAATAATCGGAAACCGCGATGCCGCGCACTTATTCCACAAGGCAGGCAGCCCGAGGCCTGCAACAGCAGCAGCAACCGGGCATCCAGAGCTTCGCAAGAGCAACTAAGCCCGGCGTTGTAGCTCCTTCCTCCTTATCGGATATTAAGAAGCCCGCTACGACAACGACGACAAATGTCCCGGTCACGCCTTCCAAGAAACGCAAGTTGGTCGAGCTCGAAAACGTCGACTGCCGGGGCCCTCAAGGAGTGGAAAGCACGGATGCAGTCACACCTTCCAAGTCTCTTCGATTGGGAGAATTGACCTTGAATACGCCTAGAAGTGGACATTATGCACGGTCTTCGGTGTCAGTGAGGAGGAGCGGCTCGGCTGCTACTGCTGTTCCTGAGCAGCCGCCGAGTACTCCCTCGAAGCGCGCAGGTGCTAGGAAGACAACCACAAAGCCAGCTCCTGTGAATCGTCGTGCAGCATGTGTGGAGGATCTCGTAAACCTGCATGGAGCGTTCCTGAAGGCTGTTGCGCTTCATGCTATGCACAATGGTGTTACTGCCCCTGCCGACCTGAGAGAACTGCTCCCTACCATTGAACGACTTTGGAAGAAGCGGAAGGTGGTAATTAAGGATCTGCAACGACTCATTTGGATTCTGGACCAGGAGCCATCATCGACAGCGTTTCCCGCATATCGGATCGCGAATTATGGGCTGGGAAGGGTGTGCTTGGAGCGAATTGTACGGGATGGCGAGGAGCGGACGAGCGAGAACGAATTGCAGGAGCGGTTTGAGCAGAGCGTAGATCTGCTCTGGGAGAAGGCATTGGATGCAGTGGACGGAGACGAATCGAGGGTGGACTTCGTCAACACGCTGGGCGTTGCGACGATCCAAGAGTCGTTGACACCGTTCACCACGTTCCGGAAGGGACAGCAACGGTTGCAGGACTTGAGGGGCGGAGTGATTCGACTGAAGACGGAGAAGTTACGTGCGGATGGGAAGGAAGATGTGCCAGAGAAACCGATCGATGCGGCAAGTACGCGCCGGAAGGGACTGCTGGAGCGCATAAAGGATAAGCAGCTGCGACAGGCGACATTGCCGCCGCCGCCGTCGAAGGAGGAGCTGCTAAGGAGGGCAGCTGCGGAGCGCGTGGAGGAGGTCGCGGGGGTTTTGGCGCTGCTCAGACCTGCTGGGTATGTCGGGACCGGAGCGAAGGCCGTGATGGCTGCGCAGCGGACGCCGTTCCGGATCGAGATGATTGCGCAGCACGTCCGGGATTCTGTGCGGAGTCCGATTTCCCAGCAGGAGGTGGAGATTTGTTTGGAGATTCTGGCCCGGGAGGATGTTGCCGGGGGGTGGGTGAATCTCGTCACGGTGAATCAGATGAAGTCTGTGGTTCTTAAGTCATGTGCGGATGTCCAGCCTAAGGAGATTGGAGCCAAGGTGACCCAGTTGAAGCTTGGCTGGGAAGGGTCTGAGGCGCAGAAGACTGTTGCTTCTGCTGCTTGATATGGTTACGTTGGATACAGCTGTGTCTTTCGTTTGGATGGATGTTCTGTTTGATACCTCATCCGGGTGGCCTGGTATGCCTCCGGCATTATGATTGCATTGTTAGCGGTATGTAGCATTAGCATATGTATGTAATGATAGTATAAAAACAACTTATAAGACTATGACTCTGTGCTTTTCCTATCCGTATATCCAAGTGTATTCTTTCCCCATCTTCATGTCCATACCTCAGGCAGCAGATCCCTTAATTAACCCGGCGCGCGGACGCGTATACACGTGACCGCGTTTCCCGCAGCGCGTCGGCGGCCATACCTATCAACTATCAACTATCCGCAGCTTAGCTTTGAGCCCATCCCTCCAACGACCGACAAGCAGGCGCACAAGTCTCTTTCCTCGTTGGAGATAGACTATAGCACCATGTCATCTCGACCAGATCTCAAGGTAAGCTCAGGCCTTTTTAGGCAATTAAGGAAAAATGAAATTGGCTAACATTGGACTAATTGTACTGTCTAGGTGGACGACGAAGTCGGCTTCATCCGCTTCTACCGCTCCATTTCCTCCTCCTCCGACAACGACAACAACAATGAGACGATTCGAGTTTTCGACCGCGGAGACTGGTACTCCGCCCACGGCGCCGAAGCCGAGTTCATCGCTCGCACCGTTTACAAAACAACCTCTGTGATCCGCAACCTAGGCCGCAGCGACACAGGCGGCCTGCCCTCCGTGACGATGAGCGTGACTGTATTCCGCAATTTCCTGCGTGAGGCACTATTCCGGCTCAATCGGCGAGTGGAGATCTGGGGCTCTGCGAGCGGGCGCGGCGGACAGTGGAAACTCATTAAGCAGGCTAGTCCCGGTAACTTGCAGGATGTGGAAGAAGAATTGGGGAGTGTGGGTGGATTGAATATCGAGGCCGGGGCGCCGATCATTCTGGCTGTGAAAATATCCGCGAAGGCTGGAGAGGCGAGGAGTGTGGGGGTTTGTTTTGCGGATGCGAGTGTTAGGGAGCTTGGAGTGAGTGAGTTCTTGGATAATGATGTCTATTCGAATCTGGAGTCGTTGGTGATTCAGTTGGGAGTGAAGGAGTGTCTTGTGCAGATGGATGCCGGGAGGAAGGATGTGGAGCTGGGGAAGGTGAGGAATATTATGGACAGTTGTGGGATTGCAGTGTCGGAGAGGCAGAGTGGTGACTTTGGGGTCAGAGATATCGAGCAGGATTTGACGAGGTTGTTGAGGGATGAGAGGTCTGCGGGGACGCTGCCGCAGACTGAGCTGAAGTTGGCGATGGGTTCCGCGGCGGCGCTGATAAAGTATCTCGGCGTTATGACGGATCCGTCCAACTTCGGTCAGTATCGTCTGTATCAGCATGATTTGTCGCAGTTCATGAAGCTGGATTCGTCGGCGCTGCGGGCTTTGAATCTCATGCCGGGTCCGCGGGACGGATCTAAGTCGATGAGTCTGTTCGGGTTGCTGAATCATTGTAAGACGCCGGTAGGAAGCAGGTTGCTGGCGCAGTGGTTGAAGCAGCCGTTGATGGATAAGGCTGAGATTGAGAAGAGACAGCAGCTGGTGGAGTCGTTTGTGATGGACACGGAGCTTCGGCAGACGATGCAGGAGGAGCATCTGCGCTCGATCCCGGATTTGTATCGCTTGGCGAAGCGATTCCAGAGGAAACAGGCGACATTGGAGGATGTCGTGCGTGTGTATCAAGTCGCCATTCGCCTGCCGGGCTTTGTTGCGTCGCTGGAGAATGTGATGGATGAGCAGTATCAGACTCCTCTGGAAGCGGAGTATACGTCTAAGCTGCGCAGCCATTCGGATAACTTGGCAAAGCTGGAGGAGATGGTTGAGACGACGGTGGACTTAGATGCGTTGGAGAACCACGAGTTCATTATCAAGCCGGAGTTCGACGAGAGCTTGCGCATCATTCGCAAGAAGTTGGATAAGCTGCGTCACGATATGGACTCGGAACACCGTCGCGTGGGCCGGGATCTGGACCAAGAAGTCGACAAGAAGCTGTTCTTGGAGAACCATCGTGTGCATGGCTGGTGCTTCCGACTGACTCGCAACGAGGCAGGCTGTATCCGTAACAAGAGAGAGTACCAGGAGTGCTCAACTCAGAAGAACGGTGTCTACTTTACGACTTCAACAATGCAAGCGCTCCGTCGCGAGCATGATCAGCTGTCTTCCAACTACAACCGCACCCAGACTGGTCTGGTTAGCGAGGTTGTTGGTGTAGCTGCTTCCTACTGCCCTGTCCTGGAGCAGCTTGCTGGCGTTCTAGCTCATCTCGATGTTATTGTGAGCTTCGCGCATTGTGCAGTACACGCCCCTACGCCCTATGTCCGCCCCAAAATTCACCCGCGCGGTACTGGAAACACAATTCTGAAGGAGGCGCGGCATCCCTGCATGGAAATGCAGGATGATATTTCATTCATCACCAACGACGTGTCGCTCATTCGTGATGAGTCTTCCTTCCTGATCATTACCGGTCCCAACATGGGTGGTAAATCGACCTATATCCGACAGATTGGCGTCGTTGCGCTGATGGCTCAGACGGGCTGTTTCGTCCCCTGCTCCGAGGCGGAGCTGACTATATTCGACTGTATCCTTGCTCGTGTTGGTGCGAGTGACTCGCAGCTCAAGGGTGTGTCGACTTTCATGGCCGAGATGCTTGAAACCTCAAACATCCTCAAGTCCGCGACCTCGGAGTCCTTGATCATCATCGATGAACTTGGTCGCGGAACGAGCACATACGATGGTTTCGGCCTTGCATGGGCTATCTCAGAGCACATCGTCACCGAGATTCGCTGTTTCGGCCTATTTGCAACTCACTTCCACGAATTGACGGCCCTGGCCGATCGCTACCCCAAGTCGGCCAAGAACCTACATGTAGTGGCTTTCATTGGTGATGGCACAGGCGATGAGGAGAGCAAAGATTCGAAGCGGGACCAGGTCACGCTACTGTACCGCGTCGAACCGGGCATCTGTGACCAGTCATTCGGTATTCACGTCGCTGAATTGGTCCGCTTCCCGGAGAAGGTGGTCAACATGGCGCGACAGAAGGCAGACGAGCTTGAGGACTTCACTTCCTCCGGAGCACAGGGACAAGAGTCCAACATGTCACTTGACAAGTACTCGCAGGAAGAAGTTGAGGAGGGAAGTGCCCTCCTCAAGGACATGTTGCTGAAGTGGAAGGAAGCAATCGAGGCACCCGGCAAGGACCTGACGGTTGAAGAAAAGCGCCAGATCATGCGCGACCTTGTCAACAGTGATCCGAAGTTACAAGCGAACAAAGTGTTCCAGGGTATTAAAGCTCTGTAAGTCATGGGTATGAGTTTGCTGCCATTCGGGTTTATAGCGTCTGGGAGTTCGGAATGGGATTATTTGTATGTTGGCATGGGTCAAAGGGTAAATGTCTAGAAGAATTTCTTTGTTAAATTTAGTTTAAGGCGCACAATGCAAAAGCATGCCTCAAATCTTCATCTACATCGTACTGTGTAGTAGCATATATGTATACCCAGTCACGTGGGACCGCGGAGATCTAGACGCCTCAGGGTTGCGGTCCGCATCTTCCCCATCGCCCACTCCGTGCCTTGAGACTTCCAGCTTGCCGGTTGATTGAGAAGCTCTCATTGTCTTTGATCTCCTCTTGTATGACTTGTCAGCCTGTCTTGTGTGATCGTCACTCTTTTTCGGCAATTTCGCTTCCGCTTCCAGCCCTCTTCATTCCCCTCAGCAATGCGCGCAAACTGAAGCGACCACCCGCCGGACAGCTTGATTCATGCACCCCTTTTCCATCCTCACTCTCGGTATCTTCGTAGCGGGCTACATCACCGCGAGGTGGGATCTTGTTACTCGCCTATACGAATTGGCTATATTCGCCTGGGATCACGGCGTTGTGGTATGCTTCGTTCTGCTACCTGTTCCTTCGCGCAATCGCGGTAACTGAACAACGGACGGGCTAACATCTCCCTCGACTATAGACACGGACCGCCAAGGGTTTCCTCCTCTTATCAGTATTCTTCTTCCTTCTCGTGCTTCCCATCAACCATATAGCTGCGACTGAGGGTGAATTGGTATGCTACTATCGCGGTGGCTGGCTTGCCGTGCTGTTGCGGAACGGCCGTACAGCTATGACATCTCGAACAAGGCTGATATTCTTGATTAGCACCCTCGATACGTGCACCTGGGCGTCTCTGCGCGCGAACAACTACGCCGTCGAGGCTCCTTTTAATCGCGGTTGGAGGATGTCAACATGCTCATGAGCGATGGGTTGCTACGGGTATTTTGGCCATACGATCTTCCCCGGTCATCGTCGCCAGGAGTGATTGTTGGATGGCGGAATTCAGAGGTGGACTTTTTCGTTTTGACGGTCTTGGAAGATGTGGAGGTAAAACTGGGTTATACTGTGTTCATGCTGGGAGCGAGAGGCAGCTAACATTTGGCCGATAGCCCCGGAATGTCGACAACGCTTTGCGGGCGGGGATACTTTTCCGCAATAGCCCCCATCCTATCGTGCGCATATTCGCTCTATGTGGACGTTCGGCTATGCATGTCCTAGGATCGACTAATTCGCCAGATCCGCCAACGGCTTTCAATCCGTCCCATCTTTATGTTACTACGAGTTCGTCAGGCAAGGTCCCTCGGATCTTCTGTCCGCCGGAAACAAATCTGTCTGTCCAGGTTATCATGTTTCATCGGCCCCATCCGACCAGGATGGAATACATGTCTCTGGAACCGATCTCTCTGGCATTGGGCGACAAGGTGTTTGGCTCGGATAAGTCAGATGCTGTATCCGACAAGATTGATACCGAAGAGGAGTCGGACAAGGCTCAAGCTGGAATGCTGGTGGAGAAGTTGAAGCTCCACACGGTAGTCAAGCATGTTCCGTCGTCTAAAGAACAGGCACTCCCCCTCATCATCAACCAGGTCAACTGCGCTTATGAGATGGGGAAGCTTATGGAGAAGAATAGCCATTTGATAGGCATCCGTGTCAAGAGAAGCATGAGTGTTGGGGAGCGGGTTGTAGAATCCGCTACTACGCTGTGGGATCTCTTCGTTCTCGGCGTTTCCTATGTCTTCTGGCAGTGGATCTGGCCTGTAATTACCCGCATATTCATTGTTGGGCTTGTTTTCCATCGCACGATTGCAGAGATTGTCCTGCAGATTCTCGAATGGCGCGCTCGTCCTGATGCCGCTGCTCTGAAAGACATATCTGCGACAGCTCAGCAGGTAGATATTCGATTACAGCAGTTCTGTTACTGGCCCATACAATATGTGAAACTACGCCAGAGAAAAGATAATTGGGAGAGTGTGACTACGAGTCATCCGGACTATATTCGCTTCTACAACAGCTTGTGGCTTGTCGCCAACGATGTGATTATTGGAATTGCACTGGGGTCATACATTATCGACAATGCCAACTGGGTCGCCTTTCAGATCAGTTTCATCTTGACAGGCTATACAGTGGAAGGGCTACAGGGTACTATTTCCTGGCTCATGGACTGGCCGGCTGGTCTTAAGCTCAATAACGAACTCGCCGCGTTCTTAGGTGACCTTTTCTTGTGGGTCATAGAAAATTGGGCGGGTAAGCTTGGATTCCCAGTCCTCTTAATGTTTTATTTTGGGCTAATTAAACCATAGCTTGCATTGCCAACTTGCAACCTTACCTACCACATATCATTTACGTTGTCGGCTGTTCCAGTTTCGCCGGGGCAAGTATGCCAATTGCCCTGTTTTCCGACCTCATATCTATTTTGACAGTGCATATCTACTCTTTCTACATCGCTTCTGCCCGGATTTTTAACTGGCAACTTACCATCATTATCTCGCTTTTCCATCTTTTCCGCGGCAAGAAGCGAAACGTGCTTCGCAACCGTATAGATTCATGCGATTATGATCTTGACCAACTACTTCTTGGGACCATCTTGTTCACCGTTCTTTTCTTCCTCCTACCCACGGTTATCGTCTTCTATCTCGCCTTCGCGAGCGCGCGGATGTTGATCATTTCGCTTAAGGCAGCTCTCGATACCTGCTTGGCATTCTTGAATCATTTCCCGCTTTTTGCACTGATGCTCAGAGTCAAGGACTCACGGAGACTGCCAGGTGCGTTACGTTCACCTCTCATCGAAGGCCAACTAACTAATAGCATTCTCAGGTGGGATACATTTCGAGCTTCGTGAAGAGCACGACAAGTCCTCGACTAGCAAGTCGAGCGTCAGTGTGCCTTATATTCACCTTGAGGTTAGCAGCCAATTTCCACTGAGCCGTCAAATGCTAACCTGAACAGTCTATCCCTCTTACTCTTCGTGCCATGTTTGATCAGTACTTCCAACTGGGTCATCGCCTACGGAAACACTATCTTTCCCCACAAGTCATCTTCTGCCTTGTGACCGGCCGCTTTGTGCCTCCCATCCACCGCCGCAATCTGTACGGCATGCAGTACAGCATGCTTCCTGCGCGCCGGGCGAGCATGACTGAGGTATGGTCGATGCTGACACAGCCTCGCAAGACCAGTAGTAGCAGCAGCAGTTCCTCGTCCATGGTTGGAGGCATGGGAACTGCAGCGAATGGGATACTGAAGGTTCCAGGGGCGTTTGGCCAAGGCGAATTGAGGAGGCGAGGGCATCGATAGTATATGATTCATGTCGCATTAGATAATAATCTAGTATATAATGTTGATACACGATATAGAGACGGGTTGCAAGATCAAGCTTTAACCTTCAGTGTATGCTTCATATATAGTACAACCTAGCTAGATACAGTATTGCTCGATACCACAGTTAGAACTCCCGCCATGATAGCAAAAGTGTCTAGAGAGATGCACCCAAAACGCCAGAATGACATGTGTTAATAATACAATCGTAGACTCGTCTTCTCTCGAAAATGAAACACCCGATAGGAGAGTCCGATACAGCACAAAATAAGATGAGATGAGATGAATGCTTCGCTGGGCGGGATTCCTGGACCAACCCTATGTCGTCGGAGAGGAGAGGTCCATCGTAACCAACATCTCTAATGCAAGATAAAAACATCGAAAGAGGAACGAAATGAAACGAAAGAAAAGATTGATAAAAAATCGTGAACACAACGCATCAGCTTTTCCGCGTGTATTCAGCTTCGCTCTCCTTCGCACTCTTGCGAGCATCATCAAGCATGGTGTCGATACCCCGTTCTTTCAGTGCGAGCTTTTAGATAAGATTAGTTAGGTAACTTTTGAGAGCTGGTTTCAGCTGGGCCATACATTCAGACAAGCCCTGTACTTTTTGAAAAGCTCGTCGCAATCATTAGAGGCGGTGTTGCCACGGAGGTACTCTGCGGGTTTTTGGTGAGTTATGTGCTTACTTGGTGTAAGAGACATGAGACTTACTTTCGCTGTACCATTTTAAGAAGCATGTGTCATATTTTCTACTCAAATTGTTAGTTGGAGATAAGATATGTGTCGAGGTGTGCTGGTGAAGGAGTCGTACTCTTTGATATCATTGCACTCGGGGGCGATTGATGCTGACATCTTGGGTCGGATGAATCGGACAATTTCTTCCACAGATAATCAAAGGTATGAGATAGATGAATCTATTTCTTGTCTATGACTAGATGCTGATATCTTCGAGTGCATGTAAATGAAACCTGCTTTCCAGTTGAGATCATCTTCATTGCACCTTATGTAATCCATCTTCGAGATCACTCGTGATGATCACTAGTACTATTCAAGCAGGCGGTCAGTATCAACCGGCGCGACGATTTTCTCCACCTCCGACTGCTTTTTTTTCTTATCCAGGAAAGACAAGTCCACTCCCCATTGCTGCTGCCGCCAGAGTCCAACGGGTTTGTCTGTCTGGTCTCTGCTTCTCAACATGGATTCCACAGCAGATTTCGGTTCGTTACAGCAACAGGTGCAGTCGTCCCTGATGCAGGTGACGCGCACCGCCGGTCAACTTTCAGCCGAAGATCTCGATTTCCATCGCACCTCTAACGCAGAGGTCTCCGATTCCCTGGACGAGCAGAGCAACCGACTCTTGTCGCTCACTTCGTCCATCCTGAAAGCCGCCACCGCCGGGACCGATATTTCAGCGCCGACTTTGGACGACGAAGATTCCCTCGAAGACAATTGGCGCGGTGTCGTGGATGTTATCGATGCGCTTTTGGAAAAGGCCGACGCGTGCTTGGATGAATTCACTGGTGTTATTAAGAAGCTGAGCCCGTCGCAACAAGATCAGGCTGCCGCTGCCGCTGCGAAGGCCGCGAAGAAGCAACCCGCCAAATTCCCGACCATCTACGACTACGGCCCGTCGAAGATCCCGAAGCCGCAATTGCTGTTTGAGCGCAAGGCCGATAACACCGATACCGCGCCCTTCAAGCCGCTGCTTAAGACGAAGCCCCATGCTGTCGTTTCGTTGAAAGACTCGTTGAAATTGTCCGATTCTGCGGTCGGATATGTCAACCCATACGAGACGGAGATCCGTGCCGCGAAGTACCCCGCTTCGTCGTACAGTGTTTCGCCGCCTGTGGATTATCAGCCGTGGGAGTCGACAAAGGCGACTTTTGTGGATACTCAGGAAGGTGTGAAGGAGATGCTGGAGGAGCTTAAGGCTGCGAAGGAGATTGCGATTGATTTGGAGCATCACGATGTGCACTCATACCAGGGTCTTGTTTCTTTGATGCAGATTAGCACTCGGGATAAGGATTGGGTTGTCGATACGCTTAAGCCGTGGAGGGAGGAGCTGCAGGTTCTCAACGAAGTGTTCACGGATCCCAACATTCTTAAGGTGCTTCACGGTTCCTCGATGGATATCATTTGGCTTCAGCGCGACTTGGGGCTGTATGTCGTTGGCATGTTCGATACATATCACGCTGCGTGCGCGTTGAACTACCCGAAGCGCAGTTTGAAGTTCTTGCTGCAGAAGTTTGTCAATTTCGAAGCCGATAAACGTTACCAGATGGCCGACTGGCGCATTCGACCGATCCCGGAAGGCATGTTCGACTACGCTCGCTCCGATACTCACTACCTTCTTCACATCTACGACCACATTCGCAACGAACTTGTCGAAAACTCTCTACCTGACAACAACCTTGTCGACTACGTCTTGGAGCAGTCGAAGAAAGAAGCTCTGCAAATATACGAGCGTCCTGTCTACGATGCTGCTACTGGTCAAGGACCGGGCGGTTGGTACGACCTCCTTTCACGCAATTCGATCGTGGTCAACCGGGAACAGTTCGCCGTGTTCAAGGCAGTACATAAATGGCGCGACGAGGTTGCCAGAGAGGAAGATGAAGGCGTGCAGTGTGTATTCCCGAAGCACGTTCTCTTTCGGGTTGCTCACACTATGCCGCTCGACTTGGGCACCCTGTTCCGGACATTGTCGCCCGTGACGCCAATTGTCCAGAACCGCGCTGTAGACCTTCTGGAAGTCATCAAGAAGGCGAAGGATGAGGGTGCTGAAGGCCCTGAATGGCGCGACGTGTATGTCAAGCCAACCAGGGGTACACCTGCCGCACCGGCGACACAGGCAGTCGATGTCGCATCCCAGTCCCCAGCAGAGGCCAATCTCCCCACTGTCTCTCGTTACGAGTTATCCCAGTTCTGGGGCTCCGTTCTGGAATCGCAAGAACCCCCCACGGTCCCTGAATACTCCGCCGTTGCCTCAGCTGAAGCTCTACGTCTCTCCCTCCCTCTCCCACCTATGCCTAGAACTGTCTCCGAAGCCCGCGAGAAGCTAGCACCCGCTCAACCTCAAACCCCGAAACCCGCTACATCTGCTCCCGCCGTCAAGGAAGAAAAGAAAGAGGAGGACGAGAACAAGTACTTTACCGTCAAGGAAATGGGTGGTCCGCGTAAGCGCAAGGCCGCTCCCGCAGAGACAGTCGAGCAGTTGCAGTCCGCCTCTTCGGAAATCGATGGCCCCACCACGGACGCCAGCTCCTCGTTGGACATTGAAGATAAGCCATCCAAGAAACAGCGCCGCAAGGAGAAAAAGAACAAGGCCGCAGCACAACCTGAGTCTGCCTCCAAGGAGGACGGAGAAGAGGAGGAAGAGGAGGCTGCCTTCAACTACGAGTCTGCTGCTTCTGTCTTCAATGCCAACCCCAAGGCTACTTCGGGACTCCCGTCGAGGCGTCGCTATAACCCCTATGCGAAGGTGCTCGATGCCCCGTCGGGAGTGCGGAAACAGAAGCGCGAGACTGCCGGAAAGGCGTTCACGTTCCGGTGATTTTTCAAGTGTGATAGAAAGGAGTGTTGTTTCTTTGTCAAAGGAATGGTGCGCAAAAGCATGGGCATGGACATAGTGTTTATAAATGCATAGCGATACCCGGTTTTGAATCTAACTTCAAATCAATTCGATTTTATCTAGCCCAGTCTGTTCCAATCGTATTATTCGTCAATACTAGTTGTCAGTAGCGTAGTGTAGCTCACTATACCACCAACCAATCCATCCCCTGAAGTATTAGTATATAACCAACCAACGTTTTTTCCTGCCTCTCCTAGCACCGATCCACTAATCCCATCCAACTAACCCACCAACAACTCACTTCTTCTCCTTCCTCTCCTTACCACCAGCCAAAGTCTTCCCTCTCTGCTTAACCATGTACGAATACATCATGGGCGAACCTACACATAACTCATCAACAACACCACTTCCATACGACCTACAAATCGACATCAACAAGGAGAAAGGGAAAAACTCACCAGGACCATAAAGAAACAAAAAGAAAACGAACAACGCCTGAACAGGGATGCTATTCGTAACGCGCAGCGCCCGGAACATGAGCCACCATTCGCTTCCGATGCCGATGGGGTAGAGGATCAGGAAGAGGGAGTATCTAATCCAGTAATTCAGTCACGTTATCTATACGAATGGGGGGCACAATGGAAGTGTAAGTGCATGCATGCATACCTCAACCACCTCAACAACCCCGGCACAGGCGCACCGGCACTTAGGACCGCAAAATAAGAATACCGAATTGCATCTGCGAAGGACCATGCCAGCAGCATGTACTTGTATGCTAGCGAGGGACTGGTGGTCTCTGGGTAGGCGTAGTTGATGGCCCAGACTTGGACGCTGCGGGCGAAGATTTGGGTGAAGGTTGTGAAGATGGGGGAGCGGGTTAGGCCTTTTCTTTGCGGTTAGTTGTTGGTGTTTGGTGAGTGGTGGGGGTTGTAAGAGATTAGGCTTGACTTGCCTAATGCAGCATGTAGGATTTCAAGAATTGCGATGGTTTGGGTCCATCTTGTCCAGGGTTCGAGGGTAGCGTAGGTTGTTTGAGGGGATTGGAAGGGGGAGAGGACGATGGAGGAGAAGATGTAGACCCAGAGGAGGGCGTTGATGGTGTTGTAGACTACTAGGTAGGATGTTCTTAGGGAGGACATTTTGTTGGATTGAGGTATCAAGGTGGTGATGGTGGTATTGGAGGAGATTGGAGGAATGCGGTGTTGAAGAAACGGAGGAAATACAACTCCGTAAAAGTGGAAATTTGCATGTGATTGCGGCTGAAAGAATAGCTGCGGGTAAATGAGGGACTATCGATTTATTTTTCTCCAGCATTGCGGGTGATGTTGTATGTATTCTCTTAGGGCTATTTTGACATGTATATCTCATCATTGTAGGATTTGAATTTAAGCTTATCGGATACAAATTAGGGTTCATGCAGGAATGCGCAGGGGTTCGTACAGCCCGGTGGATGAAAGGGCTTTGTTCGGGGAGATTCAATGGCCATTCGGGTGCCTGGGGTCCACTTTTCGGGGAGAAGTAGTATATGTTTCAGTAGTATTGATTGATAGGTTGTATGCTTTTTTAAAATCATGCTTTCCCTTCCCTTATGATAGTCACCTGATTGAGAATGTGCCTGATGTCGCCTCTTAATTGTTTTCAAAAGACATACATTCCTCTCCCAGTGTAGAAGCAATAGTGGTAGCACCTGCTAGCCCCTTCTATCTTTGATCATGCCTGGGAACCGCCCACGGGATGTTCTTATTCCTACATCAATGTCTGGCTGTTTCCGATGCAATCACTCAACGCTGCTGTAGAGTACTTAGGGACATTCCACTTCTCTCACGCAGCAAGACCAATTCATGGGGATTACCGTCATGAAACCTTCATAATGGATATCTCCTCAGCATGTCCTCGACTAAGGCATGCTGTTACTCTCCGCGAGTCCTTCCTCGAACAACTATAAGAAGAGGCAAGTAACCATAGAAATCTCCTTCTTTTCCCAGCAACACGCCTCTTCAATCTTCTATCGCCTAGGAATTAGCAAAAAGCAAACCTCGAAAAACTAGAAACTTCTACAAAAAAAAAAAAACGTAGTAGCGCCTTCACTTACAAAATGGCGTCAAGTCATTCTGCGGTGAACCCAGGAGTTACTGGACCAAGTCTCTCCGACTTTCCTGAAAACATTCAAAACAAAATTATTCTGGTTGAAGTTCCCGCCGCCGAAGTGCAAGGCTTCATTCGAAATGAATGTCCTTATATGTTAGAGAGAATCGCACCGTATGGTGCTAATTGGATGAGACATGTCATGTACAACACCATCCCCAAGGAGATCCGAGTCTACGCGTATGTCCACTATGACATGGCCCAACCAGACTGGTACCGAAAGGAAGGCAATGTGGCTCTTCTGTCTCGTTACAATGCCCACAGAAACAATTTGGAGCAGGAAGTAACTGAGGAGCAGGCCCGCAGCATGCTGCGGTTCTACAGTATTGTGCAATTCTATGCCAACCCGCTTCCCGCCATCGGAATTCGGGCCCTGAATGTGGCACGTTCTGGGAACATGCGGGAGAGGGCTTCTAGAAATGAGATGCTACGTATTGAACGTGCCCTGTACATACATGATATTCTATTGCAAGCGATGACCAACATACCCCGCCACACCATGACCTCGGCTGCTGCCAAGTCGCCTTGGATGAATTTCCTAGAGATGTTCACTGGCTGGATGCTATACCAGGTGTTGACAGTGACTACGTTCCTCCATTATCCGGGTATGTTTTGACCCCAAACACTTGCTGGTACTAAATCAGAAATGCTAACCAATACCCTAGATCACACGAAGCGTTTCTCTGATGAAGAATTGGAAGACGCGCTTGTCGCTATCTCGAAAACGGAGAATCGCAACTATCTGGTAAGCTCTGGACCCGGGCTTTGAATTGTGCTATTAGCCCTAACAATCTGCAGTATGAAGGGCTGTCATTCAGAAAAGAGATGGACGGGGGTAGTTGGGATCGAAGACTGAATGATGAAGAGCAGCTTCGCCTCAAATGCTGGGCTGCTGCTGGCAGGGCCATATTTGCTGCTATGTATCTGAAGGTAGATGGCAAAGATCAGAAGTTCAACCAGCAGAACTTTTCCCCAGATGATAACATGTTCAACAAACAAATGGCTGATCCATTTGTATTCATCGAGGGGGACAATGGCCCGCATCGGCTCTGGTACGCAGTCTTGAAGAATAGGCCCAATCAAGACATAGGAACATTCTTTAATGAAACCGGCCACCCGAATTACCTGCTCTTCATGTGGGATGAAGACCGGTTGCGCTACCTGAACTTTCTTGGGCTGCAGTAAGACAGTCACTGAGAACAGGATGACCGTTCTTGCGTCTTACCCACGGCTTGAGATCACCTGGGAGCTTGGTATCATTAGTCGTTCCCTTTCTTACTTGCTTACTGCTAAAAAATAAGCTCTCATAAAATCCAACATACTTTTGCTTCATCGAATAACTATGGCTCCATTCCTTGTAGACCGCTTTTCTTTGGCTTTCCACTAACCAATTTAGAAGACAATTATATACCACACTAACTGTAGATCCTGTGCTCATAGTCTATCAGTATCATTCCAGAATAAGACCCCAACCCAACCCAACCCAACCCAACCCAGACATAAACCAACCAGGAGGAGCCTACTATGCTAGACAACCTCCACTGACAGCACAACCACACACTGAAATTTGTGGTGCATAATGCACAGATTGCAGGCTGCATGCATTGCATATGTGTGTCACTTGTGGATGTACCACAGCAACAAAGATATGTGTGACCCCACATTAGTATCGTGAAGGTGGTACACGATTGATTAGTGTGTGTGCGCGCATATGTGCATAGGCAAGCTTAATGCATTTAGTTACCTAGTATTGAAAAGAAATAGTTGATTCGTTAGTTAGCTAGGACCAGTAGTAATCCGTGACATCCAATAAGCGGATTGCTGATTTGCATGGCAGTGGATGATGTTTGCTTTTGACAGGTGTGGACTATCGAAGTTTAGTAGATTAGAGTTGGGGTTGGGCTGATTATCTACTATGGGTTTTTTCTGGATTGGGGAGGGTGGATATTGCTTCTTTCCCTACATTTTCTTTTTTCTTTTTCTTCTCTTTGAAACTGTCTTGGTACTTAGGGATTTGAAGGTAGGAGGTCGGGATCTGAATCATACCTTCTTACTCGCTTATTTTGCCGATTATATAGATATATGAGTTCATCTACAAAAACTGTGTAGTAATTAATGTGGAGTAAATGAAGCTACTAATGACAATGATGACGCTGACGCTGACGAGAAGTGGTCACTGCTGATTACTACTAGGCATCTGTGCGAGGTTAAGTTGGATCATGTCGATCGTTTCCATCGTTTGCTCCTGTCGCAGGATCCATGTTAATATCGGGAGATCATTAACAATTAACATATAATGAGGGATTTTTGGGGATTGATATGCTATCTAGATAGAGTAGTCGTCAATCCTGGGGCGGGAACTTAGTATGTTATGTTTCAATTTCACGGTTCGCTTCACGAGTCATGCAGGATTGATATTTGTATTAGGTAGATTACTTTGGTATTCCGTCTTTTTCTTTTCTTCGGTTATTGATTGTAGATAATTTATCATCATTTTACTATAACATCTCATTTTTCTTACTGTATTCCTGCCAAGCCCGGCAGTATGCACCGTGAGGCTTCAGAATGAAGAACCCCGGTCGATCTACATGCATACAACTGACCCTTATTACCAAGAATTTAAGCCACAAGGGTATTCACGGTTATTGACTGCTATTCTATTGTTGAAGATATTCAGGCCAAGAATAACAGACAATTAGATACAATGCAGTGGCAAAATCCATCATGGGTGCTTGGTATGCATCCAACTTGGCAGATAGCCGATCCCTGATAAGGAGGGAGTGGAATCTCTACTACGTACTCTGTATGGTACTCCCGCTCACGAGGGCAGGGCCAGTAGTTACCCACCGACCTTGATCGTATCTCAAATGTCTCGCATCGCAATGCTGCATCGTCATAGGCTTGCATTATCGCTCATCAATTCCACATAATTACCCGACTCCAAATTCCTAGACATGCTTTAGATCCTGTACTACGCGAGAATTGCAAATCTGCAGACTAGATTTATCAAACAACTGTGGGAAAATTACTACGACTACAGCTGTACAGTTACTAGTAAATAGGAAGGGATCAAATCAAGCATATCGCTTAACATTATTACAATAAAATGACTAACCCACTGATTCAGACCCCTCATCAGAGAAAAAGCCAATAAAACCACATCATCTCGACACATGAGATTTCGATTTCAAATTCTCCATTCTACGCGAAGCAAACAAACAATCAATCAATCAATCCATCGTGTCAGGCGGGCCTAATGTACGTACTAAAAATGAAAAAAGCCACCAATGCTGCAGGTACCACACATGCAACTCCCGTCCAATCCATGGATGGGATGGATGACTCGAATCGCGCAAATCTGAAACTTGGTCCTTTTTAAGATTCAGTCATACTCCGCCCCCGGCAACTTCGTCTCACCAATCTTATCCCGGCAGTAGTGATTAGTGAACCGGTGGTACCAAACTCTCTCTCTTTCTCTTACTTTTCCCATCAAGTGTGTGTGGTGTGTGGCTAAAGTTAGATTGGAACTGGGCGCCCTGCAGGTAAACGAACTACGGAGTAAGTCATGCTCCCCCCTCCTCTCTCTCCCCTCCTAGAATTTTGTGCTGCCCTGCCTGCCATGATGTTCTCCCATGACAGGATGATTGACCTATGGGGTCGTAACTCAAAAAAGCGATGTCATGCATGTGTAAATCGAGACTTTCTTGAGATTCTGTGCATTTTTTCATTTTTTATTTTCTTATTTTTTATTTCCTTTTCATCCCTCCACTTTCTCTCCGCACAGTTGCGTGTGCAGTAGCAAGTAGTTCAGACTAGTGCCGCGTCGCGTTGTCGAGTACGGAGTAGATCCCCTCTTTTTTTTTTACTTCTCTCTTACTGTGCCAAACCCCCGACCCGACCGAGAGGAGTGAGTGGGTGTGGTGGCAACAGACTAGATACGGACTACGGGGACTCAGGTACCCGTGGACGGAGAAGCACTGGGCCAGGGGTAAAAAAGAGACAGACAGAGACAGACAAAGCGAGCCAGCGGACGGATGGGGAAAAGGGACTGACTAAACTACAAAAGTATCTACAGCACTAACTAACTAACAACTACTCAGGTCACGCGAAATTAAACATTTCCTGCAAAACCTTGGAATGTGCCATGCGATGGGCTGATGCACTAAAAAGAAGATTAAGATATCATCTTAAGTTTCGAATTATCTTTAATTATTTTTCTTCTACTCTGTGAAAATGGCCTGGTTGTTGCTACTACTGTACTACTGTTGCAAATGATGCTAGTCTCTCTTCTACTTGGTATTTTATCTAGTTTGGTTTAGTGTCGCTATTTCTTTTTCTTGCTTAGCTCCGAACCTAACCTACGCGCTACTAAACATTTATCTGCACCCCCCGGTTACGGTACGTGCAAGCCGTGGGCTCCGCTGGATTTTTCCCCTTGCGTCTTCTTGCATGGGCGACCATCCGACGGTCAAGAAGCGGCGGCAGACGATCATCCGGATATCATTATTTGGGGGAGAGGACGGGGGGGACGATCCGGATGATTGATTTAATTGATTAATGGATACTACTGTGATTTTACTGGTTTAGATGTATCTCGGTATTATTTGTTAGTTGTTTGGATAACGAAGTAATATTTTTTTCTTTCATAAGAGGAATGGGATGAGGATGATGTTAAGGGCCATCCAAGGTTTGAAGGAGGGACTTGGAGAGGGAGGAGGGGGAGAAATAGTACCCAAAGCGGTAAATATAATTGAACGAACGCTAATTTATTTTATTATCTTTTCGTCCATGGGTATAGGCCAGTTATTATATCCAAAACATCTGACCTGGAGAATGTCTCTAAATTCTTTGTCTTGGATTGACAGTCATGACGCATTGATTAATTCAACCTCGTCTCTGTCTGTCTTGCCTATCTCTCTCTGTCTGGCTGTCAGACAGTCAGTCAGCTGGAAGCGGGATGGATTGACCAGTCCTTAAAAATCAGGAGGCGTATGCTGGTGGTGGTGGTGGTGGTGGTGATGATGGTGGGTGGGTAAAAATACTAACTAATAATCCCTGAGGGGAGGAACAGACCGACAGACCGACACACCAAGACCGTAGGGACCAATTTCAGGAACAGGAATTGTTCACTGGGTCTCTGGGGCTGTCTGGGTGGAGAGAGGGCCTTCATGTAATCCGTTCAACCGTTGGGCCACCCTGTGCTCCGTTCCCTCTTTTTTTCCTTTCCTTTCCCCCCCTCCTCCCCCCTCTCATGCAATACTTAGTCAGTGCTAGTTAGTTCCTCACTGATTGACACACTCGCTGTAAGAAGAAATAGGGAAGAGAAAATAAAAAGAAACAGAAAAGAAAAATACAAATGATGATACATACATACAAGTAGGAGAATTTGTCAGTCTAAAGAAACACGTTTATTAAACTGACTTCTAAAAAGAAAAGAAAACCAACCCTCAGCATGATATTGATGCAGATGTAGACTAGATGCAGGTCCACACCAGTCCATACTCAAGGTCAAACTGCCCTGACGAAATTTGAATCCTCGCGCAACTAAAAAGTATTTACTTTTGTTTAGTGGCAGTGGTACCTGCTTGGCTCTCCATCCCGTCCGCTGCAAGTCACGGAAACCAACTCCACCCTTAACCAACCGTAAACGCCGTCGTGAGGGTTCGAGCGGATTTATTTCTCCCCTCCTTAAGTCCACTCGCGAACCATCCTGTGCCTTTTTTTCCCCTCCCTCTTCTTGTTTCTCCTGGATCTCTGGTGCACTGGCTCAATCAATACCCATTCTTCTTATTCTTCTTCCCTTAATGATCATTATTTACTTTTATTATTATTATTGATTTTCCCTCTTCATTACTTCCAACCCTCCAGTTGTACCCTCTTTGTTCTTGTCGTCGTCGTCATCCCCTTCACCACATTGTCAACTTTCCACTCTGATATCCTGCCGCATTCTACAAAGTTGATTGATTGGGATCGCTTCTTCTTATTTTTATTTTTATTTTTTTTTCTATTCACCGCACTTCTTCTCTCCCTTATTACTTCTTTTTTCTCTTACTTGATCACCCTCTCTCCCTTCTTAATTCACTGTCATTCCGATCCCTTCCCCCTGTTGGTTAGTAGGTTGCCCTGATTGATTTTCCTCTGCATCCGACCGGCATCTTTCCTCCTGCCTGCCTCCCTCCCCTCTC